GTATAATAGTGCACAGAAGGTTGGCCATGAGCAACTGGATGGCAGGCAACTGAACACATCCAAAGATGCTGAACTAAGTAGGGGGAACACTGGCCTATAATATGACAATTAATTATACTGCAACAAAGCTAACCAAATTGTCTCTGGTATAATTAATGAAAAATATAACACCAGTAACTATACCAAAAAAGGGTGTCCTCAAGTGCTTTCTGCGTACACAACCTTTTAGGGGGTGAGTGTACATGTTCCTAACAAGGGGTACCCATAGAAGTGACTACAGAGGATCTGGCACCTAATTGTCAGTATTAGACGGTTATCATTAGTGCCCTTCTGTAAGGTGGTGCACGTGAATTTATTTCTTTTAGAATGTATAATGGATGGCTGATGGGCTGCTAAGCAAGGGGCAGTCTCTGTTGGCATTAAGTGTTGTGAGTGTTGAAATCAGTACTGTCAATTTTGCTCATTAATCTTGGAGTACAGAGTGTCCTGTTCAGTGCATTTGGCGGTCAGCTGCCCTCAAGAATTCGTTCCCCGGCAGCTTTGTCCTTGCAAGGCTCAGTCTCTGCATTCAGACTCTCACTGGTCCTCCCTGATGGTATGCGCACATGGTAATGGGTCCCTTGAGCTCCAACACCTCAAAAGAAAATGCTCCCCCACCCCACCCCCGCTCTCATCTGGGGACACAGACACCCAAGCGACAGGCTGTGTCCATCTGTCCTCACATAGAATGCCAAAAAGGGCATCCCACACTCCATGCAGGCTCTGGTCTCTTTGATGTAGGCACAGAGCCCAGCAACAGTTGTGCACCTTCTGGCTCCCTACACCAGACTCTCTTGACCTCCAGTGAATTGCCTTGGAAAAGTCCTGTCCTTTCGTCCTCTGTGTGCAGAGATCTGTAGGAAGTGAAGTGCACAGCCCATTAGCCTCTATTTACTTAGGGACTACATAACCCATATGTAATGCCACCCCCTGCAGGGGCCGCTGAATTTAACTGGTTCTTTCCCAAACAGTTCAGAGGCCACCAGTTACCCAAACAACAGTCCATTCATTCCAGCTCCAATAAACAGTATAGGGGTTGGCTTTTTGTGATTTATTGCTTTTAGAATGGAATTGGTGATTAGAGCATGGGGACACTTCAAAACGGCTAGCAACATCAATGAGAGGACAGCCAAAACCAGTCTTTCTCAATCTTTTTACCTTGGAGGAACCCTTGGCAAAACATTTGAGATCTCGGGGAAACCGAAAAATGTTCAGATCTACAGCTCATGGAACATTGGATCTGATCAGTGAGCTGTAGATATAACAACAATTAACAAACAAATGCAGAGCAGTGCAGGGAAGCTGTTGTTGTAACATGCCTTTTCACCTTGATCCTCACTAGCCCTCCTCTCGTCCATCCCAGGTGATATTACATTTACAGCCTGGGACACAGAAGAGGAGGATCTGTGGGGAAGAGTGCAGTAAATAACAGTATGCTTCCCTGAACAGCTCCGCAAATCCATAACACAGGGTTTCTCACATGGGGTTCCATCGCAGATCAATATTGTGGCGGGATGTATATCCACCCAATGTTGTTTTTAATATGCACTGACAGTCAGGGGCGTCCCTAGGGTTGGTGTCACCCGGTGTGGTAAAACTTGGTGACACCCCCTCCGACGATCCCCGCAGAATGGATTGGATCTGCGGATTGAGCATAATGGATCGGAGTCCGATCCATTATCCTCCCCAATCCGCAGATCCGATCCATCCTACGGGGATCGTCGGCATGCAACCTATGTGGGGTTAACTGATCTCTCCACAAAAAGGTAAGTTTTAAAGCAAGCCGACGATCCCCACAGGATGAATTGGATCTGCGGATTGGGGAACATAATGGATCGGACTCACACTGACCCATCAACCCTACAATGACTAGCATACCAACAGCTTACTTCCCTCCCACCTTCACTCCCAGAACAGAAACTTTCCTCCCCACCAACCCTATATGTGAGCCTTCGCCTACAAAACTCCCATTTGATGCAAACTATCTCTTCAACATATCACCTTCTCTTTCACACCCACCTCTCTCTCCCCCACTATATGGATCAATGGTCTACTGAACTTGGGATTTTTCTCTTTTTTTAATATCGGGCAAAAAATGTATTTTGATGCATTGACCATCTTTGGCAAACTAAGCTAAGGAACTCATTTCAAAATCCTCACTCTGTGGTACCTTTGCCCCACAATGCCTACTATCTAGCCCGCAGTTTCAGACCAGTGTTGGAGATGCCACAGCCAGCCTGGCTCTATTACTTACTATTACTTACTTTTGGGTGACTTGCCCTCCATCAAGAAATTCTGGAACATGATCCTGGTACTCTACAACAAAACTACGGTTTCCACTGTCCCTAACCTTCCTCATATTGTTCTAACTGTATGAGAAGGCTCCATTAAATATACTAAAGGGGATGTCCTGCAACATTTCCTTACTGCTGCACCCACCGCCATCCCACCCTTTAAGAGTGGGTCACAGAATTAAATTACATTTTCCACATGAAACTCAACCTAGCTCAGGACAATGATACTTAGGACTCATATACTTGGATCTGGGCCACTTGGATTACCCTCAGATACTTACAGTCATTCTATGACTGTTTATCATACACTTAAATTAATGCTTTCCTGGACTAAGAATGGCACTGGCGGCGAAGTGGCTCCCTGTCCTTATCCCACCCACTGCCTCTACATTCCTCCTCCTTCACCACCTCACAGTACCCTCTCTCCCTTAAAACCAGCATTTTCCTGTTCTCTCCATGTCCTCACCTTTGCCTTTAATTCATGCAAATCAACTTTATATAAACATGGACCTACAAGTTCCTAAACATTAGAGACTCTATACAGGGCTGCTGATAGAAACCACAGGGCCCCATACAGGCAACCTGACTTCCCCAACACAGTTTACAATGGTTCAGCTATAAATGAACACAGTGAGTGATTGTTACCGATTACTCATTGTGTTCATTCAGGAAAAGAAGGGGCTGGTAAATGTGACATATTTACAGGACTTTTCCCCCACTCTCCATCCTGAAGGATTTTATTTTGTGCTTGCAGCTGCCGGTGGACAGGGAAGGAGAACAGCTGGCAGCACTGTGAGGGTGGTGGAAATGTATAGTGCACAGGGAGGGTGATAGGTGCGGTGGGGGAAAATTACTGGAACTGATCCTCTGTCTGGCTTCTGGCTCTCTGTGCAGCAGCTGAAAGCCAGTGGGAGGAGAAGAATCCAGCTGCCAGCTGCTGCAGAGAACCAGTAATTGCCCCCCCACCCCCACCACTATACACGATCACCCTCCCTGCCCACATTAGGCTGGCCATACATTATACAATTATCTGCAGATTTTCTGCCCAATTTCCTTTAGATTTACCTATGTAGTGCAAGGGCCTGCCTAATTGGATACAACTGAAAGTGTTGTTTAGGTTTGTCCTCCTATTATATGGTTTTTGGTAAATCTAAACCAAAAATCTGCAGATAATTGTATAATGTATGGCCAGCCTTAGATTCATTCAGCTGCCTTGCCTGGGTCCTGAATAGGAGGACTGTTGGTACTCCCTTATCCACGGCCTTGACTCTATACATATACTTGATAGATCCTCTCCGTTACTCCATATACTCATTCAAGATCTATCATGTGCCCTGAAAGATATAGTTATGTTGGTGATGTAACAACTTTAATCCCCTTCCTGTTATGTCTCAAAACTCCATGCTCTCAATGCTGAAATCTGTTGTACTTGCAATGTACTTCATATGTTCCCTATTCCTTTTTCTGTATTCCATCTCCCCTATTCATCTTAAACTAATACTCAAAAAGTTTTGAGTGAACTCTCCAGCGCTCCAGGAAATGAATTGCCAAAGGGAAACCAAGGGGACCAGGACAGAGGTGGCCTAAAGATAATGCTTCAGGGGTGCAGCCCTCCTCAGACGGGGAAATCAACCACTGGAAAAAGAGTAGACAGGTGGCGCACACACCTAGGGCATTATCCAAGATTTATTCAAAGATATAAAAGAGAAAAACATACTCACAGATGAAGCATGTATAAAAAGCTTTTGCATAATGGAGATGGCCACAACAGCGGGCACTGTGTTCCAACTGTCAGTGCGGTCAGGAGGCTGACGCGTTTCTGGGACGAGTCCCATTCCTCAGAGCTACTTGAGATGTAAATCATTTAATGTCCATACCCCGAGCACAGATGCATTTTGATTATCTAAAGTTGGGTCTTGTCCCTCTACATAGGTTCTCTTTATGTGGAATCTCCTGTTTCATGGGTACTTTGTCTTTATATGAAGCGCAGGCTGAGCAGGCAATATAGCCACCCATCTAAGATGAGATTCCCCCTCTTCGATTCCTGAGCTGCTGATTGATAGCTGAACTCACCAGTATCCATTAAGCTTTGGGTTTTCCAAAAAGGAAGCTTCCAGCATAAGCTATAAGCCACATTTTATATACACTCACCGGCCGCTATATAAGGTACAACTGTTCATATGTTTGGTAACACAAATTGCTAATCACATGGCAGCAATTCAATGCATGCATTTAGGCATCTAGACGTGGTGAAGACAACTTGCTGAAGTTCAGACAGAGCATCAGAATCGGTAAGAAAGGGGAATTAAGTAACTTTGAATGTGGCATGATTGTCAGTGCCAGTCGGGCTGGTCTGAGTATTTCAAAAACTGCTGATCTCCTGGGATATTCATGTACAACCATCTGTAGGATTTACAGAGACTTGTCTGAAATTGAGAAAATATCCAGTTGTGTAGATGAAAACGCCTTATTGATGTCAGAGGTCAGAGGAGAATGGGCAGACAGGTTCAGCTGTGACATTCAGTTAGTAGGGTCAGAATTTGGCATACACAACATAAGAGCATGGATCCAATCTGCCTTGTATCAATTGTTTAGGCTGGTGTTGGGGGTGTAATGGTGTGGGGGATACTTTCTTGGCACTAGCAAGCAGAGGCGGACTGACAGCTCATGGGGCCCCCGGGCAATAGGGGATCATGGGGCCCGTGTCCTTGCCCAAACTCAAAAAAAGCCTATGAAAAAAGGTACCAGGGGCATCTCATGGGGCCCCCTACTAACCCCGGGCCCTCGGGCAGTGCCCGAGTTTCCAAATGGTCAGTCCGCCCCTGCTAGCAAGGTGTACCTAATAAAGTGGCCAGTGAGTAAATATACTGTAATACCTATTTGCTCCCCCAGTACCCTCTGCAGCTTCCTTGAAACCAAAAACATTGAGGTGCCATAGCAGATACTGACTTTTTGAAAGTCGCTAGTTACATAAGTTGCACCAGCTGTGTGTTTTGGCAGCAGCCAGGCATGGTTAAAGTGCTGGTAAACCTCAGACATGAAATATGAACAAAGCATATGCCAAAAACCTACATTTGTATTATACTGTTCCATATTTCAAGATGTAACATTGTTCGTCTTATTGGTATTTACATGTTCTTTCTGTCTTATATCTAGTGTGTAGCACTTGTCCTGAGGAAGCCAAAATAGTGGCGCAACATGTAGAGATCAAGTGACTACATCACAACAAAATAAGGATTCACCATTTCGGCAGATCACGATGTGAATGAAAGTTTCAGTAATTAATTTTAAAGAATGTTTTTAACTTTGTATTTGGAAATAAATATGTAATTTTATGGAAATGGGTTTGTTGTTTGTTAAGGCATCCATAAAATATTGTCTATTTGTCAGTATTGAATAAAGCATATGTGTGTACTTGTCTCAATTAGAATCACTAAGTGTCATTTATGTCTGCTGCTTTGTTCCTCTGTAAACCTAAGACATGAAATATGAGCAAAGCATATCCCTCTAAAGTGTGTGCTTGTCTCAATCTAGAGTACTGAATGTAATTTCTATCTGCTGCTTTGTTCCTCTGCTATCAGCATGGGTCACTTTTGACAAGTTTTCCTGACACAAAGGGGAAAAATGATGACAGGAGAGGGACCTCCAGCTGAGTGACAGCCTGAGCTCTGTTCCTGCAAGCAGTGTAGAGGGGGGTGTGTCCCTTCCCTCCAATCAGCTCTCAGAACTCTCCTCTCTGAGCTGTGCAGAGTATAACTTCAGCATTCTGCCCCTTTTTCTCTAAACTCTTAGCCAAGCTTTATAAATTCTGCACTGTGAATAGACATAGAGAAGAGAATACTGCAGATATACAGATACAACTTATGTAGGAGGATTTGTTTAATCTCTGTGTATCACCTTACTACGTATATGTAAAGGTTTACAACCACTTTAAGGTAAGATGTGGCAACTTTGAGGAATCTTCTGTACATCTTTCAGATTACAGGTTTGAGGGCAACCTCTTGGAAAATACTATTGGGTATTAAAAAAAGATGTTTATATTTTAGAGAATAAGCATGCTGGAATTTGTAGTTGTACATCATCTGGCACTTTATAATTAGCAAAACGCCGACATAAATTCATCCAATAAAAGAACGCACAGATATTTTATATTATTTACTGTATTACAGTCATATTAATATCAAATGGATCACTCTGCCATCTGCAAATTGGCAAGAAATAATACAATCCATTACATTTCAGTCTACGTCGTACATCCTGGCAGTCAAATAAGAGTGACACGCTCTATATTTCAAGGCCCAAAATAAATCCTTGTTTGTGGTGTCCATTGACATGTCCAAGATAGATTGTCCTTGGAAGGCTGACAGTAATTTTACATGTTACCAAACACAAACTTGAACTCCGCAGGTGCTGTATGCACCACACTACAAAGACTGCCCTAGGCTTACTAGAAATGGGGCAGTCCTCCTTTTTGTCGTAGTGAACATCTGTCATTTATCCAATTCTTGCGCTGTCCTTTAATACGTAAGTCACTGAGATGCTTTATCCTAAAGAGCTTAGAATGAGCTAATTTCCCTTCGGCTAATTAGCACTGATGTCTTTAATTGGATGTTTATGTAAACACGGGCTCAGTGAGTCAATCCAAAACTTACAAATGAAAATAAGTTGAAGAATCTGGTGTCCAATGGTGGCCAACCATACTATGACTGTTACAGCTTTGTACAACTTCTCAATGATCAGAGTGGAGTTTTTAATTTGATGCAACCCCATCCCTCCCCCCCCCCCCAGCTATTTTTATTGTGCTGCCCCCAAACACCACCATAGATCTTTCTGGCAGCACACCTTTAAATATATAAATAAGCGCATTCGCTATGTGGTGATATGTCAGAGTCCTAATAGATTTTTCCCTGAAGACAAAGATATAAAAATAATGGAACAAAGGACAGTTTGTTGCCCTAAAATCCCATCTCACTAGGTAGCTATGTTGATTTTCCACAAATCAGGAATTGGAACAGTCACATCAGTCACATGTATGCAGGGGTGGACTGACAACTCATGGGGCCCCCGGGCAATAGGGGATCATGGGGCCCCTATGTTCTTGCCCAAACTCAAAAAAAGCCTATGAAAAAGGTACCAGGGGCATCTCTGGGGCAGTGCCCGAGTTTCCAAATGGTCAGTCCGCCCCTGCATGTATGCTATGGAAACAGTCATAAACAATAAAGTCTGATAAAAAAAAATAGTTGGACTGGATAGTTGTAGCTATTCACCACTATTTTTTTTTTTTTACCAATACAACACAATTTTCAGTACAAAGATACCTGTGTTATGAGTATTAAATTATTACAAACAAGGCTCTGCAAATGACAAATAACACTGAATCAGTTAAAAAGATTTACCAGCATAAGAAAATTCAAATTAAACTGCAGAAGAAATGATACAAATAAACAAAAGTCAACTTTTCACTCAAACAAACCTTTCTAGGTGTGGATAATAACAGTCATGATGGTTGCAACTTTTTAAAGTATCTACAGTCAGGGCAACTGTAATGAACTTTCTGTTGGATAGAAGAATGGGTATCTCTAGGTGCCTTTTTGCCAATATTTTAGGGGGGGTTCAAAAACTTGTAGTGCTCTAATATAGAAATAATTATTTCAGCTAGGGTGCTTGTCCTCATCTATAGTCAGGGCAACTGTGGAAAACGTTCTATTGGATAGTAGAACAGTGTTGCTCTAGGTACTTTCCTACAATGTGTAAGAAGGGCCAGATGGCTCACAAACTTGTGGTGCTCTAATATGGCAATAATGACTTCAGCTAGGGTGCTTGTCCCCATCTATAGTCAGGTCAACGGTGGCCAACTTTCTCTTGGATAGAAAGGTAGGTACTTTCCTAAAATCTTTAAGAGGGGCCAGAGAGCTCAAAAACTTCTGGTGCAAACAATGACCTCAGCTAGGGTGCTTGAAGTACACATCAAGCGGGTAAGTGAGCCCACCAGTTGGTCAGTGAGGCCACCCACCACAATGAGGGCTGTTGCTGAAGCATGGCGGGGCCGAAGGTTGTGGTTGAGCACCACCTTCCTGATTTAAGCCTTTATTGGAAAATTAGAGCTTTCTAGAGCTACCCAACACAGAGGAAGCTATTTTAGGTTCACTGTTCATAAAGGTAGATTTTCATTAAACCCAAAGTCAAAAATTGAATATGCAGCAGCTTACCAGCTTTTTTGAGGGGCTTTTGTTTTTCTTTATTTTCACCTGTCTATCCTGCCAGTAGGACACTTCCTGTCCTAGGGTGGCCAAGTTCACCCTAGTGCTGTGGCTGCTCACTCATGATTTAAACTGCAGAACGTCTCCCCCCTCCTCATCTACAGGTGAGGGTGTAGTGTACTTGACAAGGTGAAGTGGGAATGAGCTTCAGAGCATCAATGGGCAGACAGCACAAGAAGTTAACAACTCTCTGGGTTTATGGCAGGATCAAGAAATTTTTAAGATATATATATATATATATATATATATATATTTGAACTTTTCGAATGGATATAACAAACCACTTTCAATGGAATATTTATGGTATATTTAAAAGACCATAAATAGGCCAATAAAAGTACTTAACTGCTAGGGTTTACATTCACTTTAAAATTCAGCACCTCAACCAGTCAATAGCATCGCAGCATACTTTGATCACATTCTGTGGTTTGGCCACATACACACTCTGCTATTACAATATGCTATATGTTTACATGTATACAGATCTATCTAAGTCTATTGCGAGTGGCATCTTTGCATGACTTAAATTTAGAATTTAAGTCTAAGAAAACTGGAATATAGGAGAAAGATTGTAAAGTGTGTCGCTAGAAAAGAATATTTTTAACATTTACCGTTACTGACAGTAGCATGTTTCTGAACACAAGGGCAATGGGAATTCAATTTTTATGTCGCAAGAGTATTATACATCAAATTCACTTTAGTATTTCCAATATTGAATCACATATTTTGGTGTCCAATAATCATGACAAATTATTGGGCCTGGTAAAATTGCACACTGTCATGTGAGGCCCAATATAAAATCATGCACCTCTTCTTTAAGGGTACAAAAAATGCCCTCTTTGTACAAGATACCCAGCTCTGTAAAAAATTAGCGTGAAGGTTATTTTATGGGTCCAATTATTTTTGAAAAAGCTGTGATAGGCCACCTTTAACTTTGGGATAGTTCAAGATGCTCTGATTTCAGCTGTGCTTGGCACATAAAGTTAAAGTCTCAGAAATTCATTGTCTTTTGATTCTAGGAGGCCACCATAAAGAGTTTGCTTCTGAACTTTACTCTTTAGATGGCTTGCCAAGGCTTACCAATAGACTGAATGTGTTCCTTTGCTTTCATCCTGAGGGCTGCTATACTAGTGTTCCTGGGGTCTATCTCTTCCAGAGGGTACTTGTCTACAAAGTTGGCGCCACACTGGTATGGAGGTGGTGGACCCATGGATCCCAACGGTTGAAGGGCATGGCCAACAGGATTGGTGTTCATGAATGGTGGTGGAGTGTAACTGCCAGGGAGGCTCTGTGGGGTGGTGACAAAGCCTGGCAGAGTTTGCAGGGCAGTAGTGTTGGACATGGGTGGGGTGAGCCAGGAGTCAAGCTGAAGATTGCTACTGATGGTGCTCATGGCTGGCGGTTGCGGTGACCGGTTGAAAGACAGGATTGGGGAATCTTGAAGCTTCATGGAAGTCACTTCAAGTTTCTCTTGTCGCCTCCATTTAGCTCTGCTCCTGTTCTGAAACCACACCTGTGGAAGTAACAATATCATATGAATGATTAATCAATATCTTGAATGACATTATAACTGTCAATACAAGTTCAGTATGAC